GAATCCTTAGCGCAGATTACTGTGTTGGAATGCAGAGTAGTGGTACTGTGCAGTGTCCATGCATGCATAATAACAGATAAAGAGCATTCTGCACAACATAATTAGAAAGGCTTCCAAACTGATAAGATTTTAATGAGCTGGAAGTTTAAAAAATAGTCATAATGTAATATGTGAACATTTCATGTTTATGAAAATCGGAACTGTTGCCAATAATTCATATAGTTCAACACCCCTACATAGCCCTTATAACCATTTAGCATCTTAGACTCTCATTGCCGTCTACAGACACCTTGCCTGCTTAAAGCATATCCAAAAGAATAAAAATGTATTATTGCAGCTTACTGATTCTTAGATGTGGTCACTGCATTTGTTTTGTTCAGCCTCTTTTTAGAGTTTCACTTTTTTTTTTACAGTAGCATGCTTCCTGTAATGGGGTGACAACACTTGTGTTGTATCTTTAAAACACGTTCAATTATTTATTTAACAGGCCAGCTTAGTTACCTCACACTGTGGGAGACATGCAGCAACTAACACTAGCACTGCAAAAGGAGGCAGGGAATTATGTAGGCGCATCTAGTGTACTAAGCGTGTGAATATATGTTGTTGCAGCCCAGTGATGCATCTCAGGAGTTCTCAGATTTGCAACCACTATTAGACGACTAGGAGAGGTGACTCCAATATCAGGTGACTCATGATATTTATGGGTGAAATTACAACTCTGAAACATCAAATGTATGTCATCTCGCCCACATTTGAAATTTGAGCACGTATGGAAGAACATCAAGTATAAAAAATGAGGAGCGATATTATTGGTGTACATAAGGGTATTTTAACTCTAGTGAATACCAGAGGATCTGAGTGAAGGAAAAGGATTTCTAAAAGTGGATATGGCTCATCTGTAATAAGGTGGCCATGGAAAATTGGAGAGTGTGGAGTGTGGATATTGAAGCACGGTCAATTTATGGAAGCACGGGTTTTGGAAGTTTGTGGATAGGCGCAGAGGTGCACTATTTACAGGCTTTGATGTAAATACTGATCTCACAAAAAGGTGGAATACGGATTGGACTCACATTTGGACACTATATAATAGTATATGGTTTGTGTCAATCACAATGTTAATGAAATTGTAATCAAGATCACAGGTACTGGCACACTGTGAATTGGATGTATGTGGGTGGTTTTATTTTGCATTTTGGTATATTGTTTGTACACAATTAAAGAAATTGTTTTCAAGTTTAGATATTATGAAGCAAAGTGCAATATACGTATATAAATTGTGGTATAGTGAGTTTTCACTAACAAGCACATTAAATTGACAAGTAAGTTAGGAGTGTTGTGTATTGCTGATCTGGTAAAAGCATATATTTTATACAAACCAAATCAACTACAAAATGAACTTAACTATGTATTCATTTTTCTCTATTTTTACATCACTAAAGGTAATCTATTCACTTTTTAAAATGAACGGCGTGTCAGACATCTTGTAGATAGAAGAATGGACACTGGCACTCCAAGGCAAATCAAGTACCTCTATTTATTAACATACATGTTGCATAGCAAAATACACTTTTTGGGGTCTCACAGGATATTTTACAGCCATGTCTTATCTTGTTACACATAGGTTTACATTATTTCCTGCATTCACGTTATTTTCATGATGCACACCATGACTGCCATGTTTCCTCCTGCTTTATGGGTTCATCTTCGCCTTGCTGCATGTACTGCCAGCCTCCGCCAGCTAGTGTCCCACTGTTGTCATGACAGCCTGTGATGTGACCGATTCCACAACGGGTATATGCGGCCCATCTGGGAACTTGTCTCTTTCCCATCGATGCCTGGGGTGCGGCCGAGTCCGCGTCACAGATGTGTGTGGCTTCCACCACGAGGACGACCGGTCTGGGCGTGGCTATGGGCTGGCCTGGCACTCTGGACATCGGCCAGCCACTCCCCCAACGCTGCCTAACGGCTTTTCACCACGGACAGCGGTTGTACACAGAGGTTGCTTCTGTTTTTCTAGTTTTCATTCTGGCTTTCATCGCACATATCCAAGGTATTACCTCTATACTTTTAACCTTATAATTTATAATTTATTTTTTCGTTCTCCATGTTCAACATATGCCTCTATTTACATTACTGTATATTTGAATTGTGGCGGGAATATGACATCACTATGACGTCAGAGAGTTCAGTGCACTCTGGGATTGGTCTATAGTCACTTGCTGGTGTGTATATTTTTCACTTGCATTTGATACACTTGTTTGCCTGATGAAGGGGATTCTGTGAGACCCCAAAATGTTGCACTGTGTATATTTTGTTATGCAACATGTACGTTAATAAATAGACATACTTGATTTGCCTTGGAATGTCAGTGTCCATTCTTCTATCTGTATACTGTCAAAATTCATTGCACCCACTTCTCACTTGATGGAACAGCGGTTCTGAGTGCAATGGGTATATGGACTGTAGACATCTTATAGAGGCACACAAAAGCCTGAGTGCATACCACATTTATTGTCAGTCCAATATAGTTTTACTTTTACAGTGCAAATTTAATTGGAGACAACTGAGCAACTGTATATTCATACCTGCACCCGCACAATTGTGCTGCTTAATACTCAGTGTGCAGTGGAACTATTGAACCATGCATTAGATTTCTGTCAGCTTATTGTATTTATTTTACTTATCTTATGCAGCTACTTATTTTTTTTAATGACAGAATATAGAAAGAAGATATTGCTTATCAACAGAATTTTAAACTGAATTTGATGGATCCAAATAAATACACAGTTGAAATACCTATCTGTGAACTAGTTTACCTATAAATGTATTTGTGTTTCTGCCCATCTGGTGCTGAGATTTACATAGCTATGCCAGGCAGCACAGTGAGGTTGGTGACATAAATTTTCTCTATTGAAATTCTGTACAGATAGTTCCCTTCCCCACCTCAAGTCTGTGAATAAGCAAAGTAGGCTCAGCAGCAGAGGAGCGCTTCCTTCTCTCTCCTCCTGTGAGCATGTTCCATGTTAGCAGATTGCATGTAACACACCTGATTGTCTCCTAATGTTGCTCCTTCCTCTCCATCTCTGAGTTCTACTGCTTGGGGGGTTACAGGAGACTGATAAAGAAAGTTTCTTGAAATTAACCTAGTTGTATAAAATGTTTTATTTTTAATGATTTTTTATTACTACATAACTGGCTACATTGGTTGGCGATATATTCTTTTATATGTGCCTGCAGTTTGTTAATTTAATGACCTGCAAAGACAATCTGCTCCACTTTTAACCCTTTCGCTGCCAAGGACGTATGGCATACGGACCTACAAAAGTGCTTCCAGCTGGCCAGGTCAGTATGCCATACGGACCTGGCATTTACAGTTCTACTATAAGCTGATGGCCGCCGGCATCTGGAGTCTCTCATCCCTCCCTGGAGCCATCCCAGGGAGGGATGAATGACTCCATGGATCCCCACTGCTTGTAGGGTCTGTGGCAGCGGGGATCCGTACAAAAATCACCGGCGGGGGGGTCCCGGGAACGAGCGGCGGCTGGCCGCATTTCAGGATGGCTGAGCGTCTTCTGTTCTGAGCCGCTGTCATCCTATTTACAGTTTTGCATACCTTCATTTTTTTACCTTTTCGCAAAAAGGCGCAATTACAAATTTGCTAATATTTGTTATTTATTAACTCAATACAGTTTTATCTTTTAGATTTAGTCAAAAAATATTTTTTTTTGTGCACGGATACTGATTTTGGTGTGTTTTAACAATTGAATTGTGTATTTTTATCGGTTTAATATTAATTTGAGAAACATTTGCGCAATTATCGCAGGGCCTACAAATTTAGTATCACCATCTTTTTATTCTACCGGGCCTGCGCTTTCAGAAAATATATGGTTTGGGGGGTCTTTTACAAACGCTAGCAACGCAGCAGTTGAAAATCAAATCAATAGGAAAAAATTGCAGAAAATTCAAAAATGGCTTGGCCAGCTGATTTGAAAAATGTTCCGGAGGGCTTGGCAGCGAAAGGGTTAATAACCAATATACATCTGTATTGGTAGGATCTTCAAACTTAAAATGACCACAATAAGTGTACCACTAGGTTTCTGCACACATATCCAGTTTGGTTCCAAAGTGCCCTGGGTGCTGATAAAAGAAAGGGTGTCTGTTTTGTAAACTGCAGCTAGAATTTGCTCTGTCATTCACCCCCTCCCACCCCAATGTAAATCCCAATTGGCCATGTATTGCAACTGGAAGCCACGATGGCTAATAAAGAAATTGAAAAGAATACAGTGAACTACCCATTATCTGGCACTCAAGCAACCAGCACTCTCAAGAATCCAGCACTCTCAAGCAACCGGCACAACAAAATCAAGGATATATGTTCTCGATTTTTTATTTTTTTTGCCAGTGGCTTGATGCACACTAAAACATTGTTGGTTGATTGGTACACACTTAAAAAATTATTAGCAACTACATTTATTTTGTTGTTAACAAAATTCTTTGCTTACATCTTGCTGCTGGCCAATGTCTGTATTCTCCAGTTGGCAGCAGAATGTAAACAATGGGGGGCAATAGTCAGCCTGCTATTGGCTGTTTCAAATTGCAATAGCCCATAGGAGGCTGGCTATCGCAAATTTCCCTCTCAGGTCTGCCCCGTGGGTGGGGTTTCAATAGCTATTAACTCTCTATATTAACAATTAACTCTCAAGCAACCAGAAACTACAGTTAACCAGCACCTACAGATCCCCGTGGGTGCCGGATAACTGAGAGTTTACTGTATATAGAAAATGTAACTATACTTTCCTTCTGACAGACAAATACAAGTGATAAATACGAGTCATACCGCTGAGCATACTGCTTTCATATATCCCCTACAACAGGAAATATTTATTGAACTCTGTTTTGACAGTTTTGAATCATTGTTAAGCACCTGACCAAGATGATTAAATGTCCAGTGGACAAAAACAACCTGGAAATTACAGTATATTGATAAAAAAACAACTCACCATGAGCAAGGTCAGTTGCCCCTCTTATTATCTCTTTGAATGCTGGTATGTCATTTTCCCAACCACTCTTTTGAGTTTCACATTTATGCGCCTTTGACAAGAACTGCAAGGCCTGTAAATAAAAACTATTTTAAACAAACAGGATTTGTCAGGAAAAATTGTATACAACTACTAAAATAACCAAACTAAATAGGTTCCATGGACATTATATTTGTCACTACCAGTACATATCTTTACACAGTGTCCTCTTACTGAAAATTAAGCATTATGTTTCTGATTTTTTTGTGTGACATGTATCAAGAAAATTAGCAACAAAATTGGATGCAGATCCTCTGTTTGTGATGTCTACGCAACAGTTGTTTTGTATATTTGCAACCCCTGTACCTCTAATCCTGAGCAATTAACTGAGACAGTTTGGCACAGGTCTTTGACAAAATTAAAGTGGCCTTTTACCCCCTTCCACAAAAAAATCACATCAGCATGTAGCTCTGCATGCTGATATGAAATCATCTTACATTAATTAGTTAAAGAAACATACTATTCTTTTACTCACAATTACTGTTTTTTCACTTCCTGGTTATCTAAGGCATTAGTGATGTAGCCCTTGCCTAAGCCCCATTCACACTAAGCGGATTGCAGCACGATTTCGCACATTTTTGCCGCGAGATACCATGAGAAGTCGCCGGCCAATGATTTTCAATGGAGCTGTCTTAATGTACAGCTCCATGTCGCCCGTTGCAAGTCGCGCCTGCAGTACCCTTTTTTCGGCGGATGTCGCGCGATTTTTCTATTTCTTAATGCAGCCCGGCGGTGAAGGTCGCGCTACCGTTGCCCTGAAAGTCGCGCTATCCCAGCCGCGCGGATCCGCTCCAAAAGGTATGTCGCTCAGTGTGAATGGGGCCTAAGAGTTGCATCCCAGGAAGGTTACATCACCTGGGAAATCTCATCTGTAAACTGCAACACTCATGAGAACTCAGGGAAATGTGTCCCCCCCGAGATTATGTGAATTGTCACATGTCCTAGTCACAACAAGCGAATAACAGTGCACACTTAGTCTTCACAGACGAGGTGTTTATTCACTAATTATAAAACTTGATTCATAATTATACACGAAGCACAAGAGCAATGTCTGTAAAGGTTTAATATTCAGTTCATGGTATGAACAGCGAAGGCTAAGAGAGGTGGCAAACTGGTGTGAGTAAGTTCATTTTCTCACATTATGTGAGAAAATGGACTTACCCTTTAAGTCATCAGTTCCTTCTGGGATGTTGTTCTGGGGTTCTTTTGAGATCAACATTAAATTTACTGCTAGAAAATAAATATGTATACAGCATATATTGTTAAAGGAGACAGGTTCAACTGGTATTGGCTGTGGTAAACCATGCATGAGACAGGGACACTCAAAAGGTTTGTTCTGCACTTTTATTATACACTTGATTAAACCTCCTTCTTGTCGAGGCCATTTGTCAGTATTCAGCGCTGCAGTAGTTTGACTGACATTTATTCCGTCATGCAAAGCTTTACTGAAATACATTTTATATAATTTTTGGGGGGGACAGATGGAGCTTTCTTTTGGTGGTATTTAATCACCACTGGGGTTTTTATTTTTTACTATATAATGAAAAAAGTTTAAAAAAAAAAAACAACAACCTGTTTTCGCTAAGTTATGTTATAAAACATTTATTAGTACCCAATTTTTTTGGTAAAATATAAAAGATGGGGTCACGTCAGGTAAATAGACACCAAACATGTCAAGCTTAAAATGGCGTGCACCAGCAAAATCGCAAAAAAACTTCCACACCTAAAATTGGCGATAGGCGACACTTTAAAAGCTTTTACCACTCATCAGTTTAGTGTTATCAGTGACTAAAAGCCCTAGAATTATTGCTCTCACTCTGACATCTGCTGTGATATGTAACATGTTTGGCTCAATAGTTGTTTTCACATGTAGGCGCACCTAACGTTTATTTAAGTTTATATGTGCGTGCAAGCGGGGGGAGGGGACGACTTACTTTTTTTGTTTTTTTTTTAAAGTCCCCTACGTGATAATAAATATACAATGACAGGTCCTCTTTATGTAGACATTAGGGGACTCTAAGACCTCTAATGTCACCTGTGGACCCCAAAAGAAGCTGATGAAGCACAGATCTGCTTCACCAGCTTCTTCTCTGATTATAGCAGCCAGAGAAATTACAGCGAAAAGGGGAAGTGATATAATACACATCAGTTCCGCCTTTAGAGAGAGATGAGGAGAGATCAGCAAGTAGGATAATGCTGATCTCTCCTCCATTTACAGTATGAGAAGGCGCTGTGCCAGTCTTCAGGGGAGACAGCAGAGCCCAGGATAACTGGCAGCGGCCGTGGAGTGTGCGGCAGCAGAGGGGTGGGGGGGTTGTTTGGCACGGCAGCGGAAAGGGGGTGCGCACTGTCTGTTGTCATACAAGCGATTGGGCGGCTTTAGAGCCGCCCGTACTGGCTGTTTACATTTACAGCGGGATTCTGGGGGCGCGCGCAAGCAGAAAAAAAATGAGGTTGCTGTCCACGTGTTTATTCACAACGTGTGGACGGCAAGTAGTTAACCAATGCAGCAAATACAGTTTCAATGCAGAAGGGCTTTGCACAGCAAGTCCATAGCATCAATGGCTATATTCCAAATTCTATAAAGCACGAGGGCCCACAACAAAACTTAAGATTCTGAGAAAACAAAAAAGATTGTTTCCTCCATATCATATACAAACAGTGTAGCCCTGCATCATGTGTATGTAAGAATCCTAGGTGAAACATACACACTGACCACAATTCTGCCAGCTATTGCCTCAAAATATATATTTGTATAATATACAGTATACCGTATATTATACATACACCAATTAGACAGATAGACAGAGAGAGACAGATGGATTAAACTTTAAAAAGAAAAAAAATAGTTAAGAAAGGAACTGTTTACTACTACAGCTGTACAGCAGATGTTCAAATGTATTGACTGTACAGAGTGGGGATTATAATTTTTCGTCTAAGAAGTCTAGACTCCCTGATATGATCCATGTTAGCAAACAATTAGAGTGATTTAAAACAATTGGGCACAGAACATGGATCTTTTGGAAAATATATATTTCTCAGAATGGTTGTGACAAATTGTAATGCATGTTTTTTTTTTAAAAGAACTCCATTCACATTGGAAGCAATTTGTTAACCATTTGAGTCCCAGGTGCCATTTTAAAATATCTTTATGGTTTAGCATTTATTTGCCCAATCACTTATATTAAATTATGCCCAGTCTCAGTGGCTTTGGCGTCTCCTGGCAAGGTTCAATGGAACTGCTGACTGTAAGTGACAGTGAAGTCAGCATTGTGGATCCTGTTACAGAGCACCCAATAAGTGGCCTCTGAAGCAGCACATAGCAACACAATGTTTTACATTGCTTTCAAAAGGTATGGGGGGGGGGGGACCAGATGTAGTCTGTGATGTCAATGACACTTCCTGTGAGTCCAGCACCAATCTTTAGAAAGGGTCAATCTAATCTCCTCAGACTTGATACAGAAGCCCCAGGAAGAAAAAAACGACCGTATTTTACGGTCCATAAGACGCACCGGACCATAGGACGCAGGGAGGTCCGGCACGCCTTATGGAGCACTCGACAGACTGTAGCTTCTGTCACAGCTTCTATGACAGAAGCTGTGACAGAAGCTGCAGTTAGTGACCGCTGAGACAGGTGGCGCTGTGATTACAACGCCACGGTCTCAGTGATCACACAGAGCAGACGAAGAATGTCCGTTCTTCGTCTGCTCTATGGTGATCTCGATCGTCCCCGCTGCTCGGTTTTAATACGAGTGATCTCATTAGATCACTCGTATTAAACGAGCAGTAGCTCCTACTGCTGAACTCGATCGCCGCCGCCGCTCGGCTTTAATACGAGTGATCTCATCAGATCACTCGTATTAAACGAGCAGTGGCTCCTACTACTCGCCCGGCGCCCGAAACTGCATGTCTGGGGCGTCGGGATTCGCTCCATAAGACACAGGCACATTTTCCCCCTCCTTTTGGGGGGGAAAAAAGTGCGTCTTATGGAGCGAAAAATACGGTAAATAGAGTAATTCTTAATAATTACACATTCCTATTAATCCAAAGGTCTTAAAGTGGACCTGAACTTAAAAACTGAAGATCTGCTGTGTTATAGGTAACATCTAGTCAGAAAAAAATTGCTGTCTGGAGACGGCAACCCGCAGATGCAGCAGTGCCGTCCGTCCGTTTTTCTACTACGGGCGGACGGCAAGAGGTTAAATGTGTCCAAGCAGGACCCTGAAAAATTTACCTTTTTTCTTCAAGTCATCCTGGGAAATAGCAGTGCACTTCCTAGTATGTGAGGATGCCTTCAGCCTCACAGCTGTATATGTCTGCAGTGTAGGTTTTAAGGAACTGTATCTCTAACTGCTAGTATTAGGAGATTTGAAGTTAGATTTGGTGGCGTCACTACTGTGCTGCTCCCTGTTGTCCTTGCTGGAGTCTCTGACATGAGGAAGCAAAACTCAGCCTCTTTCAAGATGGCTCCCCTCACACAGAGACACAATGCAGAACAAAGTTATAGGAAAAGATCGGCTGCAGGAATACCACAGGCAATACTGGTGACTTGTCCTTAGCACTCTGCCTGCCTTTATTTGGGACAGCTTCCCCAGTTCAGTCCCTCTTCAATAAATATATTTAATGCTCTGGATTATGTTTTAATTTACTCTGTGAGTGCAAAACACTCACATAAGTGAATGCAATGACATTAAAAAATGTAACTTTCACAAACCTGTTAAAACAATGTTGTTGTGGCAATTTCTATCCTTACTTGAACTTATCTGAATGATTTCTGTGTAAAACAATATGAAATGTTTAAAAGGGTAAAATGTTGTCCTAAATTAAAAATTACACTTATGTGATATATTTTTAGCTAGTCAATTATATTTCCTAATAAATATTTGGGGCTTATAAAATTAAGTAAAATATGTAAATAATATTTCACTAAAGTGGCTACGTTACTGAAGTGGGATCATTTACATGTAATAAGGTATTGTTTCTCACTTCATGTACAATTACAAATGAATATAATCAGTACAAATGCATGCATTGTATCAATATTGTACATCTTTATAAAAAAATAACCATACAACAGGCAATAACACTGGTGATTTTCTGGCCTTTCTTTTTGGTCATCAGTGGTTTAAGAATTTCAAGTAGACAAACTACTGTCCCTTGAAGATTTATTACGCTAAATTAAATTCACTGTTTAATTTAAATTTGACATGCCTGCTTTACAGCATGTATCATTTTGGATTGCACTCCGAATTATATATTTCCCTGAAAGGGTCTTGACTTTAACTACAAAGTTAGGTTGAAATAAAGACATATGCCGATCAGCGATAACATTATGAACACTGTTGTAATTCTTCATACCATAGGTTCAACAAGGTGTTGGAAACATTCCTCAGAGATTTTGGTTCATAATGACATGATAGCATAACGGGCCCAAAGTGTGCCAAGAAAATATCCCCCACACCACTATACCACCACCACCAGCCTGAACTGTTGATAAAAGGCAGGATGGACCCATGCTTTCATGTTGTTTACGCCACATTCTGACCCTACCATCTTATTGTTGCAGACTCATCAGACCAGGCAACGTTTTTCCCATCTACTTTTGTCCACTTTTGGTGAGCCTGTGCGAATTGTAGCCTCTGTTTCCTGTTCTTAGCTGACAGGAGTGGCACCCAGTGTGGTACTCTGCTGCTGTAGCCCATCTGATTCAAGTTTTGACGTGTTGTGTGTTCAGAGATGTATTCTGCATACCTTGGTTGTAACGAGTGGTTATTTGAGTTACTGTTGCCTTTCTATCATCTCGAACCAGTCTGCCCATTCTCCTCTGACATCAACAAGGCATGTTCGTCCACACAACTGCCGCTCACTGGATATTTTCTCTTTTTCTGAACAATCTCTGTAAAACCTAGCGATGCTTGTGCGTGAAAATCCCATGTAGATCAGCAGTTTTTGAAATACTCAGACCAGCCCGTCTGGCACCAACAACCATGCCACTTTCAAATCCACTTAAATACCCTTCCTTCCCCATTCTGATGCTCGGTTTGAACTTCAGCAAGTCGCCTTCACCACGTCTAGATACCTAAATGCATTGAGATGCTGCCATGTGATTGGCTGATTAGCAATTGTGTTACCAAGCAATTGAACAGGTGTACCTAATAAAGTGGCCAGTGAGTGTATAAGGCAGCAAGTGGATGTGTTGGAAGCAGATAAAACAGGCAAGCATAAGGATTTGAGTAACTTTGACAAGGGCCAAATAGTGATGGCTAGACAACTGGGTCAGAGCAACTCCAAAACTGCAGCTCTTGAGGGATGTTCCCGGTCTGCAGTGGTCAGGACCTACCAAAAGTGGTTCAAGGAAGGATAACCGGTGAATCGGTGACAGGGTGATAGGCGCCAAGGTTCTTTGATGCCCGTGGGGTGTGAAGGCTGACATGTGTAGTCCGATCCAATAGAAGAGCTACTATAGCTCAAATTGCAGAAAAAGCAGTTTGTTGCTTATTGGGCTGCGTAGCCGCAAACTGGTCAGGGTGTTTCTTTTAAATCAAGTGGATGGCTGGGTGCATGGGTGCTACCTACCAGGGGAAGAAATGGCATCAGGATGCACTATGGAAAGTGTGATACTTTGAGCAATATTCTGCTGGGAAACTTTGGGTTGTGCCATTCATGTTGATGTTACTTTGACACAATCCACCCACCTAAAGATTGTTGCTGACCAAATACACCCCTTCATGGAAACGGTATTCCCTGATGGCAGTGGCCTCTTTCAGCAGGGTAATGTGCCCTGCCTAACTGCAAAACTGGTTCAATAATAGTTTGAGGAACACAACAACAAGATTGAGGTATTGAATTGGTCTCCAAATTCTCCAGATCTCAATCCAGTCGAGCATCTGTGGGATGTGCTGGAAAAAAAGTCAGATCCATGAAAGCCCCACCTCACAACTTACAGGACTTATAGGATCTGCCACTGATGGCTTGGTGTCAGATACTACAGCATACCTTCAGAGGTTTAGTAGAGTCCATGCCTCCACAGATCAAGGCTGTGCTGGCAGCAAAAAAAGGACCTCAAAATTACTCACAATTAGGTGGGTTGTCATAATATTATGGCTAATCGGTATATGTATATCGACCAAAACCTAGAAATAAAACTCTACCCTTGCAGATCCAGAACAAACAAAAGCCCCCATAAAGCATGGCCCAATTTGTTTTACAAGGGAAAAAAATCCTTTTGACCCCATATGGTAACCAGATAATTGTCTTGAATCAGATTTCCTTATATGATTTTAGAACGGTTAGTATCTCTATATGTTTTGCAACATTTTATTGTCTTTGCTATAACCAGTTCTTTCCTACCACATTTCCATAGAGTACAGTGTCCCTTCTTCAGCTAGAGATAAAACCCACTTCTATTTTAACTGCAATGGCCAACTTGTATCTTCTATGATAATCTTTTAATAAATAACTTTGCACAGATTGGCTATGGCACTTCATTTGACTAAGGAAACATTCCCCTAATTTAGTTAATTATATTAATAGAGTTCTTTAAGCACCAAAACCAGAAACACTCCTATTTTGCTCACCAGGCTTCTTGCATTTACAAACATGCATAAGGGATGTGCAAATAGGGATGTGGAAAAACAGGGATGTGCAAATAAGCATCCTCAATATCTACTAATACCAGAAAGTCTTCCGGGTGAAGATAGGCAATGCCAGAGCAGGTAGATAATATATGGAATTTTTGGACCCTTCGAGATAATAATAGGATGCAACACCCCCTCCTCGTGAGCTTAGGAGACAGTGAACAGGTTGGACTAAAACCACTAAAACATTTATGCCTCCAGAACAGTTACTATGACCCCTGAGAAAGGAGCTGATTTAGCAGTTCAGCAACTCCCACTCTAAGCTCTCTCTTGTTAACATTTGCCCAAAAGTGGCAACATAGCATGAAGTTTAATATCAGGTATTTACACTTGACAAAAATAAAGTAAATAATTATTTGCGAAGTACAACAGGGTATTTGTATAACACTGCATTGAGTTTTTATTATAGGCAAAATGTTTTAAAGGATACCTTTTCATTTTCCTCAGCTTTTTCACTTTCTCCATTTCCATACAGTTTCGCATATGTCTTCCAGATTTCTGCATCACTTGAATCCTGGGCTGTTACTCTGCCAAACAATTCTTGCAACTTGACTTTCAGATTGCTTGTTGACTCTCCTTTGCAATCCTCTAGTCCTTCAACTACTGCTCTAGTTAGGATTTTCAGAACCTACACAAAAATAATTTATAAGTACAAAGAATATACACAAATGACATACAGAATACAAAGAAAACCACATAAAACCAAATTATTCAATGACAGGTCATTAGAGGAAGGGACTTTGCCCATGTCAGCAGTGCCAATTTTACTTTACTTTATGCTTGTGCTTGGTCGATGTATGTTACATCCTTCTGAGTCCTGAACTCCATATCCTATGTTGTAAGTTACATATCACTGCTGCTGCAGTCTATAAGCTGTGCAATACATTGCATACTCCTGTCCAAAGTATTAATTGTCTCAAGCGTTTCTTGGTGCTAAAAATCACCAATTCAATTAAGTTTTTTTAAGTCTACTTTCTGTATGTAATAGAAGTGTTTCATTTAAAAAATATATATTTTGTCCTGCAGTATGTTTGTCTATGGAACTTTTCCTACAGCATAGTAAAACAGGATACTTGTCTTACCTGTAAAATCTGTTTCTTAAAGAACTTCACAGGACTAGACACTGGCAATCGAAGCTGTATGGATAGCCCAGTATAACCACTCCCAGCCTCTCTCAAACAGTACAAGAGAAGAATACAGAAATCAGAGCAGAGGGTCCTGTACCCTGTGATGTACTCTAAAAAACACATTTTACAGGTAAGATAAAAATCCTGTCTTCTTGTTCAACGATGGCAGGACACAGGGAGTTAACTCTTGAACTAAGCACTCCGACAAAGGGGCAGGCAACACAGCAAACACTGGCTAAGGGGCTCGAGAAAAATGTAAGCAAGCCTCAACAGTGAACTATAGCAGTAGAGGCTCACAGTTCAGAGTGCCACCTGAAGAATTTTGGAGCTGAAGCTAGCAACTGCAGAGGCCTGAATGTTCATCTGGTAAAAGCTTTGGTGATCTGGTAAACCGAAGCTTGTTACTAGAAAGCCCAAGAAGCACTAAAGCTCCTAGTAGAGTGATCCTTGAACAGAAATGGAGGAACATTACCTTTAATCCACAGGCCTGAGTGATAGTTTGCCGAATCCACCTAGCAATAGTGGAACCCGTACAAGGACCCTCAGGAATGACAAATGAAAGCAGAGAGGTAAACATGAAGGAAAGAGGCGATGGACCTTAGCAGCACAGCACTAGCTTACCCCTGTGGATAACCAGAAAGGGCCTTTTAGAAATCAAGGCTGCCAATTTAGAAGCAGAATTTATGGCTACAAGGAAGGTCTTCATTTGAGAGAGTAAGGCCCGAAGGATATACACTCACTGGCCACTTTATTAGGTACACCTTGCTAGTACCGGGTCAGACCCATTTTTGTCTTCAGAACTTCCTTAGTTTCTCATGGCATAGATTCAACAAGGTGCTGGAAACATTCCTTACAGAATCTGCTCCATATTGACATGATGGCATCACACAGTTTCTGCAGATTTGTCAGCTGCACAACCATGATGCAACCACATCCCAAAGGTGCTCTACTAGATAGAGATCTGGTTACTTTGGAGGCCATTTGAGTACAATGAAATCATTATCATGTTCACAAAACCCATTTAAGGTGATTTTAGCTTTGTGACATGGTGCATCATCCTGCTAGAAGATGGGTACACAACAATACTCAGGTAGACTGTGGCATTTAAATGATGCTCAGTTGGTATTAAGGGGCCCAAAGTGTGCCAAGAAAATATCCCTCACACCAGTACACTACCACCAGCCTGAACTGTTGAGACAAGGCAGGATAGATTCATGCTTTCATGTTGTTTATGCCAAATTCTGACCTGACCATCCAAATTATGCAGCAGAAATTGAGATTCATTAGACTAGGCAACGTTTTCCACTGTTCTATTGTCCAAGGAGAACAGAAGTGGCACCCGGTATGGTCTTCTGCTGTTGCAGCCCATCTGCTTCAAGGTTCAACATGTTGTGCTTTCAGAGATGCTTTTGTGCATTGTTTGGGTGTAAGGAGTGGTTATTTGAGTTGTTGTCTTTCTATCACTTTGAACCAGTCTAGCCATTCTTCTTCTAGCTCTGACATCAACAAGGCATTTTCACCCAGAGAACTGCCACTCACTGGATACTTTCTCTTTTTCAGACCATTCTCTGTAGACCCTAGCTCTCTGATCTCGATCAGAAAACGAGATACCTCTGTCAACCAGGTCCCTTGAACTGAGAGGTTCCCCAAGACTCCTCCCCAGCCTGACAGGCAGGCTGGCATCCATCGTGAGCGTGAGCACCAGAAGATTGGGAGAAAGGATTTTTCCTATTTCAGCACAGGGTTGGAAATCCACCACACCAGGGTAAGCTTGGCCTCACTAGACAAGCAAATGGGGAAATTCCAGGGGTTAAACCTGCTTGTCCCACCCAACCAGAATGCTGAGTGGCAAATGACTGTGCATAGAGGACTGCTTAAAAGGAGGCACCAAGCACGTTGTCCAAGACCAGGCCCTGGAAATTCAGACGATGAGAGGGTTCCAGGATCGATATCTGGAGATCTGAAGCTCTGCAGGGTTTGTACTACCTAATGACTGCTGAGAGAATAAGGCTTGCACTGATTTGTTTCTGATGGGAAGGTCATCCAAATACCCCAGTATGGGGATGCCCTGAGACTGAACCAAAGCCAGAACAGGGGCCAGCACCTTGATGAAGTCCCGAGGCATAGTTGACAGGCTGAATGGAAGAGTAATAAACTGGAAGTGTTGCATGTCCATAGCAAAAAATGTAGCGTTGATGGGCAGGAAAAACAGGGATGTGCAAATAAGCATCCTCAATATCAACTAATACCAGAAAGTCTTCCGCGTGAAGATAGGCAATGTCAGAGCAGGTAGATAATATATGGAATTTTTGGACCCTTCGAGATAATAATAGGATGCAACACCCCCTCCTCATGTGCTTAGGAGACAGTGAACAGGTTGGAGTAAAACCACTAAAACATTTATGCCTCCAGAACAGGTACTATGACCCCCTGAGAAAGGAGCTGATTTTAGGCAGAAAGAGAGCATGTTCCCGTATTTACCAGGCTTGGGTAGCCAGGGTACAATTGAGAGTCTAGCTTGGTTTTGCACACTAAAGCTTGTGAGGGACGAAATTAACTTTTCTTGAATGGGGGAGCAGAGGATTTTGGCACAGAAGGCTTTGATTACTTCTGAGCTCCAAGCTAACTTTTGCAGGGGCTGCTACACTGAGCACCTCTAGCAAGGACTTACTGGCTAGACCTGGAAGCAAGCAGGCGGGAGCAGAGTAGTAATTTAAAGGTGACATGCCCCATCCAATCTTTGCCTTGCCAGTGGTCAAAACCTGAGGCAGATTAGGAGTGGGAGGTTTATGCAGAATTGTCCTTATAGCTTTGAATAATCACCTAAAGGAAACTGCATAACCCATTAGTTCAATAATTACTCCCTGTACCTGACGATGTACAATCGGGAAATGAGGCATATTTTGTGGGAACAAGAACTGTGGCATACGTGTGCAGTGTACACAATAAGCAACCTTAGGTTCTATTATAACCTTTTAAGCCACCCATTGTTCAGCTCCATGTTGCCATCACTATGCTTGCTGTTCTGCTAATCTTTTTTTATTCTGTATACCCAAGGGTGCCCCAGGTCTTTTACAATCCTAATAATTACTTGGCATGTTAGTAACTCTTACTATTACAACTGCTTCTGCAATACATATTGCATCAACTATCTAACTCAAGTGCAAGGCAGCTCTTCCTCAAAATTCTTAATAAGATTTCAGTTTTAATATTTAAAGATTAAACATAAACACAAAATATTTTGAGAAAACAAAATAGCATAAAGACATTGTAGGTATAAAATAGAAACAGCAGGGGATTCCCCAATCAACGATCGTAAGCGCTGATTGAGGAATCTGTTATATTTTCTTTGTCCAGCCCGCAGGTTGAACAAAGAAAATATAAACATGTTAAGTCTTTCTAAAAGGACAGATCACTGTGAAGGTGTTGAGAAAAACCGGGAATTGGCCAGAAGTAATGGCAAATATTTCTCTCGCAGGAATATTTTTAAAAATAGCGCTATGCTAAGAAAATATACATACTTTGTCACCATGTCAACTACATAGTCAGTTTAATTAATCTATGTAGCCTATAGAAACATTAACATATTTCATAACAAGAAACACTTTAAAACCACTGTAACTAGACATTATAACCCATACAAGTTTACCAATGTAAACATAAAGGCTTTAGGGTCAAAATAAGGCAGCCATCCATTCCCACAATGTCCTATTAGTGAGTGATTCCCCTGTTTCAAAGTCTTTCACAATATAATGATATACATTGTGCACATTAAACCAATTTGTTTCTGGATGCAGCAGAGAAATAATTCAAACTACATGACTACTTACTATAATAAAATGCCTTTACTTTTGGTATGAGCAATAGAACATGTCAAATATTGATAAATAATTCAAAAGACATTTAAATATAAACTGGTTAACATTAATCAATAAAGCACAATATTTTCTGTGGATTAATGAGCCAGAGTTTGACTATCCAATTTGCTAAAAACCACCCAGAACTAAGATCCTGTTTCACTACATATGCTGAAAAAGAGAACAGGGTACGAAGCTTACTGAAAGATATAATAATATAACACAGTGTAAGATTTGGCTGAAAACCCATAAAAGGAAATCAGTTAACTATTTAATAGCCTGAACGGGAGTCTATATTGAAAAGCCTCCCACCACAAATGGTCCTATATATGCTCCCTTAGAATTGTTTCTTGTCGTATATGTCTATGATATCATTAAATCTGTTGTGCTACCTAACATATAGACTCCATGTTTCTGTTCTTTTTTACCTGTTAACTTTTCTTAATGTCCTAATAAACTTTTTTATGGCAAAAATAAATAAATATATTTAATAGCATGCTGTCACGGTTCACTCAATATATCTCACGGCACACTAGTGTGCCGCGGCACAGTGGTTGAAAAACGCTGAAATAGATGTTTTACATTTTTGGTTAATGCAAGAGTGATAAGCCAGTGTTTCCTATGTCTTTTGGGGACCTGCTCACTAGTCTGTATGTCTACTGTTACAAATTATATTATGGAGAACGTGCTGGAAAAAGTATGAACAGCCCAAGATGGATGGAAATAATCAATGCTCTAATATAGGTGAGAATAGGTTCACAAACTATGGCAGGGGGATATAATTTCTGAAATCCTCCAGAGATGTACAGAAGACAGCAGGTAACTTAGCCTGCAAGACTCAACTTATGACTGCAATATGAAATTTCGGTGGGCTACTCCATTGACTTGGGTAAAGACAGCAAATCTCTGCATATTAAAAAAAGAAAAAAAAGGAAGGAGAGAAGGAAACATGATTTCATTTTCTTGAACTATAGTGAATCTTTAGACTCCTAAACCTCCTGAACATTTGCTGCACATACTTTGCCCTATAGTTCATTTGTTGAAGTTAGCCATAAATGTCTAGAAGGAAACAAAGTAAGAAAAAACTGTCAGTTTATGCATTTTGAGGCTTGTTGCTCTACCTCTTAACTTGCTGACTTGCTTTCCCAGGACAAGTTTTCTTTAACCACTTCCAGCGGGTTCACGTGAATGTAAGTCCTCCGCAGGAAGTGGTTATACCAAGAACATGGCTGCTGCTGCCGTACCGTTTTAAACAGCATGTGATTGCATTTCGGCGGCCGAAATGTTGGTGTATCCCTAATAAACATATTTGGTACTTTTGTAAATCATATGCCAAACGTGGTGTAGAGTATCTTTATTGATCAAAAGGTTAATTGCTCTTGTATGCACAATTTGCTCACAGAATAGATGGAAATGGTTTGTTGATGAATAGCTTAAATATGTTTTAAAGGAAGGGAAATATTTGATAATACTCACCTGTACATCTTTGTATTTAGCCCGCAAGTCCATGAGTCTGTGATAAGCTTTGACTGCTTCACTGAACTCCCCTACATCAGTACTAGTTAGAAGATAGTTTTCCCATATTTGCCAGTGTTCAAAGTTGCATTTAATGGCCTCTTGAAGTGTCCGAAAAGCCTTGTGCCTTTTAAAGAACAGTAAACATTAGTACAAAGCAGATTATTTAATTAATGTGCACTTGTTGTACATGCAAATGCAGGCTACAGTATCAGGCATGTTTAGAATGAAATGATTTGACTCTGAATGTACATTTCTTTGTATGTCCAACAAATAAGTAATTTGACTAAGCACATACATTTTACAAAATACAGATTGTTCTCTGTTTAGAAATTTGGAAAGTGGAATCAAAAGATAAGGGTTTTGTTTTTTAAGGGTTTGATCAAAATTGTGCAACATTTGTAATTATATAGATAAGAGTGCTTTCAGACAGAAAATTACACGTTTGTAATTAAAAAAAGGAAATAAAGCTTCAATTAGATTCCATTAAACTCAGTCTGTTTGACTGTTGCCATTACATCATTATTTAAACAACCTTGGTACTCATCACTAGGAAAAAATGTGATGGGTGGCTCTGGAATGATGAATTAAAAGGAAACTAATTATTTGTAACACTTTAATTACTTTCCATTGCACATCTGAAAATGTAATATAGTAGCGTTCGCTGACCTGAACTTTTCTAGTAGAAACTCTGCACTTGAAACATTATGTTTCTGAATGAAACCAGAAAAGCTCTTAGCTTTTTTTTCTTCTTGTGAGACACAGTTGCTTATAGGAACATAGACTTATCAACAGCCGCTGTTATCCAGAGACTGATACGCTGTAATGCATGTCTAACACTCTATTTTCACCTCAAACATAAATGATGAAGAGTTCAACACAGCAGCAGATTAGGACCCATGCACATGGTGCTTTTTTGTGTGTATGCAGAGAGCTTGCGCCCTGTGAAAAGCATCCCTCCCGATATGCAGGGAATTGTACCATGTACCATTAAATGTGGACAGCCACGTACAGATTCGGCCAATATCACCTTGTCATTAACTTGAATGTGCTCAGCGGCCGCATTTGAATGGGCACACCTGGGATTCCTGCTGCAAGAACACATAGATTCTTGCCCCAGGAATCCCCAAATACACATACATGTGTGCATAGAGCCTAGGGGTAAAACCACAGTAACTAAAGTTGACAAAAAATATAAAGTAAGGGGCTTATTTATAAGTGTTCACATGGCTTTCCTGCCACTAGATGGAGCCGAGGAGCATAGGAAATTCCTTGGCTCCATCTAGTGACTGGAATGCCATTCGACCAACTATATGCAGGGTGGAACATTTATATATCAGCCCCTTAAATGTTGTTAACTAATACACCTATTTTTATACTGCTAAATTAAATTCCTATAGGTTATAAACATAGGAAAGTAAACTAATTAAGGCTGATGAGTGAATAAGGAGCATGCAAGTTTTAGTAGTACACGAAGACAGGTAAAGAAAATGTAACGCAAAATGGCCATTTACAGGTTTATACATTTTTAGGACTGTCAGTAAATATTTACTTTTAACCTCTGTAAAAACAACTTTAACCGCCCGCCGATTTTTTACAATGGCTGGCCAGGAGCTTCCTGGATGTGACAGACTGTCTAAAGATGGCCTGTTAGCCCCGCCCACTCGCACGTGGTGTGCGTGGGGAAACTGCCAACATTTAAAAACAGGCAGCGATGCCTAGTTACATACAAGCGATCCGCCGGCTATAGAGCTGGCGGATCGCTTGTATAACGTGCCTCCTCCGCGCCCACCCCTCCCGAGCTCAGTTGTGCCCAGTGCGAGCCCGGGATTAGCATGGTGGTTCTTTGACAGGGGATCAGAGGGAGATCGGTACACAATCTCCCTCCGGTCCCCTCTCCGGTGTCAGAATGCGGAAGTGATGTATATTACATCACTTCCGCATTCTTGCATCACTCTCCAGCTTCAGAAGCTGGAGAGAAGCTGATGAAGCAGATCTCTGCTTCATCAGCTTCTTTGGGGGGTCCTAGGTGACATAAGGGGTCTTGGAGACCCCTGAGGTCTCCATAAAGAGGACCTGTCACATCCTCTTTGCTATCAGATAGGAGGCTAAAAAAAACCCTATGTGATAACAATAAAGTTAAGTGGAAAAAAAAAAGTTGCAAAAAAATGAAAGTCACACATGAAAAATAATAAAAAAACAACAGTTTTTAAAAAGTTCCCACCCATACACACACGTGCGCAAACATGCGTTGGGTGCGCATACATGCACAAACGACAATTGCGCCCATTACGCCGCACATGTTACATATCGCTGCGAACGTCGCAGTGAGAGCAATCATTTTAGGGCCATCAATCACTGTTAACACTAAACTGATGAGCGGTAAAAGCTTTAAAAGCGTCGCCTATGGTGAATTATATGGTAGTTTTTTGCGATTTCGCGGGTGCGCGCAATGTTAAAGCTTGACATGTTTGGTGTCTATTTACCCGACGTGACCCCGTCTTTTATATTTTACCAAAAAATTGGGTAATAATAAATAAATTATAACATAATGTAAAAAACAACAACATTTTTTTCAACATTTTCAGTAATTTTTTCTTAATATAGTAAAAAATAAAACCCCCAGTGGTGATTAAATACCACCAAAAGAAAGCTCTATCTGTCCCCAAAAAATGCTATAAAATTTGTTTCAGTACAGCGTTGCATGACTGAATAAATGTCAGCCAAAGTACTGCAGTGCTGAATACTGAAAAATGACCTGGCCAGGAAGGGGGTGTAAACACTTGGTCAGCAAGTGGTTAAAGTAAGCTATCAGTGGAAGCAGATCCACAGGTATTATTTAATTGTACTACAGTTGAACATAGAACATAAGCCAAAATAAACATTGTTTCATAGGAATGGGTTTTCAATTTCTGACAGTTACCAGAAGAAAAGCAAACACCAAGAAGGCGCCTGCCCCATAAACACATGTTCTAAATAAAAGTTTCTATGTGTGAACTGAGTGAACAGCACTGATGGTATCTCTTACTAAAATGGCATTATAATAATAAAATAGCCTTGTAGCCATTAAAGAGTACTAGGAACAATGTAGCACAACTTAAATAGTAGTATCTCAGTACACTAGCCTCGTAGCTACCACAGAGTACTAGGACTAAATTAGCACAACTAAAATGAGCTGATTAAATATGAATACTCTTAACACACTACAAAAACATCTACATACTATATAGGGATGCACAGATACTTTTCGAGTACCAGTGCAGATACTTGGCATTTTCATGAGAACTACCAGGGTTGCAGTGGTTGCAGCTGGGACCTGGCTCTGGCTCTCCATCACTGTCCTGAAATCATTAGTCTGTATTGTTTCAGAAAAACTGTCACATGACAATAAACAAAAATGTATCAGTACTCGTACTTGTAAGTACACGGCAAGTACCAGTACTCGTACTCGCAAAACTGGTATCTGTGCATCCCTTTATTTATAAAAACAAAATCGTACATTAAAACAAAGATGTACAAATCCCAGGAGCTCCGTGTGCTCCTTACAAATGACAGCTGCCTCCTAATTTTTCTATAGTGTAGTCTTGGAGCTCAAAAGTATCGGTACATGTACTCGTACTTGTACCGAGTACTGTACTTGGTATCTGTGCAACCCTAATACTATATACATGGAAAGTATTGAAATTGGTAGGGAGGCAATGCAGCATCATATAGAATGATTATGTTACCATCAATATGCATTCATTGTGCCAATTACAGTTCTTAATAGCAAGAAGATGCTTTAACCCCTTCGTGACTGACGACGTACAGTGTACGTCGCCAGCATCGGGGCTGTTTAAACAGACTCCCGGCGACTTTTGCCGCCGGGACTCTGTTTAAACTTGTAGAGCCGACTGTCGGCTTTACAACAGAAGCGATCCTGGCGACTTACCTGTCGCCAGATCGCTTCTGCGTCCCGAAGAAGGGGCCGCCCCCCCCCCCGGACACCCCCGCCGTGCTTTCCGGGCTCCATTGCCCCTCCTACGGGCCCGGGACCGGCGATCTTTGTGTCCGCGGGGAGCTGGGGAGGAGGTCGACGAACTTCCGTTCATCGATCCCCTCCCCGTTCTATGGGACCGGGAGCGATGCAGATTGCATCACTTCCGGTCCCTGGGCTGTCAGTTCTGGGCTCCTGCAGCCCAGGTCTAAGCTATTGAAGTGCGATCTGCACTTCAATAGCTCATTTCTAGTGTAAAGGTGACACTGAGGGTCTTTTGGACCCCCAGCATCACCTTAAAGAGGACCTGTCACCACCATCTGCTATTACATGGGGGGGCTTGCAAGCCCCCCATGTGATAGCAGTCAAAGTAAAGTAAAAAAAAATAAAGTTTTAAAAATTAAAATGAAATAAATCTAATAATAATTAAAAAAAATGTAGTGGAATATAACATGGGAGCAAAAAATTAAAAAAGGGCCTCAGTCATGAAGGGGTTAATAATGCAAATTTAAAGTCACATTGTATATTTTTTCACACATGTACATTGAAAAGATGTACAACACTATCTGAAAATTAAGCCTAATTGTCATTTCCATGAGCACACAAATATAAAGCAAAAGGATTACTGCATCACTGGACTACAGGAAACCTAACAGCAAGCAGGAGTACATACTCTTAAGTATGTTACATCATTGACAAGTAATGGCACACTTACTGGGCAGGGGAATAAAAACTGGTATAGCTTAGTCATGAAGTAAGAGAAATTCACCAGAGTAGAATGTTCTTGTTATAAAGGTAATAGAAGGCATCTTTGCGGTATCTGTTTGCAGGCAGTATTATTAGATTTACATATTTTTGAAATGTTGTACATGTTAACTTTATCCTCTCGGAGGGAGCAAGGCTGAAAGGGCCGTTCTTTGAGCAAGCCGGGTCAGATGATCGAATGAGTATAACTTTTTTTATTTTCCTCCTTAGACCAAAATGAGCAGTTAACCCTTGCAGTGCGGGGGTAGCCCCACTGCAAGCATTAATAAAAAAATCTGCTCAGAGTTTTTCTTCAAAGGAAAAGTGAATATCTGCAGTTCAGTCAGTGTAAAAAGATAGAATCCACTCTGATTTAATGTTCTACGGCATGAAAATATCATAGGGGATGAATACTTTTTATCAGCTCTGTATATCATAAAAATAAAACTTCTGCGCTATGGAAATGTCACATCAAATGAGCTGTGCTAAACAACGTATTTTCTTTTCTTAAGCTGTCCTCAAAAAACATATTATCTGAGAAGAAGTAAGAATGCAGTCATCAGAAGTAGAATAGTAATCCCTTGACAAGTAAGGCCAGGGAGTTGCTTCTTCCTGATCTTGATAATTAGTCAGATTTGCAATGGCCAAGGGGAACTAACAGAATCTGAAAATGTTTTGTATTCACAATGGAAATATTAAAATACTTACTTCTGTTTTAATCTGATGTATGCGGAGGACAGATTATTCCAAGCTTCTGCATTCTGCATTTATAGAAAAAACAGAAGAAAAGACAATCATTTAAAATATTTAAAAATATTAGTATTCATATATAGTCATGGACAAATATTGGCACCCCTGCATTTCTGTCAGATAATGCACCACTTCGTGCAGAACATTGTTGCAATTACAAATGTTTCGGCATTCTCATGTTTATTTCTTTTGTTTGTATTGGTATGACACAAAATAGTGGAGACAAAAAAGCCAAATCTGACACATTCCACGCAAAACTCCAAAAATGGACTGGACAAAATTATTGGCACCTTCTCCAAATTGCAAGAAACAATTGCATTCCAAGTTTTAGTGGAAAAGCATGGACAATCTCAAGTTTACAAGTCCATCTCCAGAGATCCTAATGTTCCTGTGTCCACTGTGCGCAACATTGTCAAGAAATTTACAGGCCATGGCACTGTAACTAATCTCCCTGGACGTGGACACAATTGATCAAAGATTGCAACGAAGGATTGTTCGAATGGTGGATAAAGACCCTCGATCTACTTCCAGCTGACCTTCAGGCACAGGGTACAACTGTGTCAGCTCGCACTATACGTCCCCATCTGAATGAAAAGGTATGCTATGGTAGGAGACCCAGGAGGACCCCACTGCTGGCACAGAAACATAAAAAAGCCAGATTGGAGTTTGCCAAAACTTACCTAAGGAAGCCAAAACCCTTTTAGAAGAATGTGCTGTGGACAGACGAAACAAAATAACAGCTATTTGGTAAAGCCCATAATTCTACTGTTTTCAGAAAAAGAAATGTGGCCTTTAAAGAAAAAAATACAGTCCCTATAGTCAAACATGGTGGAGGTTCACTGATATTTTGGGGTTGCTTTGGTGCTTTAGGCACTGGATGTATTGACTGTGTGCAGGGCATTGTGGAATCTGAAGACTACCAAAGAACTCTGGGGTGCAATGTGGGGCCCAGTGTTAGAAAGTTGGGTCTCAGTCAGAGGTCTTGGGTTTTACAGCAGGACAATGACCCAAAGCACATGCCAAAAAGCACCCAGAAATGGTTTCAGACAAAGCGCTGGAGAGTACTGGACTGGCCAGCAATGTGGAGAGATCTCAAAAAGAGCATTTGGGAAAAGGAACATGAACCCTTCCAATCTGAGAGACCTGGAGTAGTTGGTGTAGAAGAGTGGTCCAAAATTCCTGTAGAGAGGTGTAAAAAAACTCATTGATGGTTACAGGAAGCTATTACTTTCAGTAATTTTTTGCAAGGGCTGTAGTACCAAATATCAATTGAGGGTGCCTCTTTCTAGTGTCATACCAATACAAACAAAAGAAATAAACATGAGAATGCCTAAACATTTGTAATTGCAACAATTTTCTGGGCAAAGTTGTGCATTATCTGACAGAAATGCAGAGGTGCCTAGTAGTAGTAGTTTCAGGATATATATAAAACAAACATTGCAGATAAGTATGCATTGCAAATACTCAAAACTGCATATAAAAATGTTCATTCCTAATGCTAAACCTGTAGGGCAGTTTAGGAAGCCATCCTACTGATGCTGTGCAAAGCTCAAAACTATAAAAAGTACAAACATTAATCAAAATGCATTTGTGGACAGGTAATATGGAAACTGGCCTAGAGTGCCACAATTGTGAATAGCAGCAACTGAGTTGAACACTGCCACTTCAAGCCACTTGAAGCAAATGATCAAACAAGTGGTGACACATTTTTTTCCAGCTGCTATCCACACCTTATGACATGCATCCCTTGGATGACAGTAATGATCAAAATACCAGAGCTAATACTAAGAGGTCTTTGCCTCAGGATCGAGGCTTGGGCAAGTATATCTTCCTTATTTGGTCCCCTAGAGAAAAACGAGCAGTTAATTTGTATTCCGGTGAACCAAACTAACTTGCGCTAACGGAAATAGTAAAACTAAATTAAGATGGATTAAAATTTAAAATAGATATTAATATGACCCCGGAGCTAAAATTTCTAAAACCAAAAAGGAAAAAAGCTGCTGAACTCAGGCTAAAAGCCTACAGAATAATGGTGTAATGAAGTGTACAGTGCTAAATGCCCTTCAAGGAAATTAGATAACGTTAGGAATCATATGGTGTCACCTCCGTGTCAAGCAATCGTGAAACAGTGTATATATAATAAATATTTGTGTAAAACTTATAGTACGTTATAAAATGTGTCAGCAGGTGTCATAAAAGGCGTGTCCTACATGAACCTTATTAAATAAATAAACAAAAATCTTCAAAGAACATGTGTCATATATGACACCTGCTGACACATTTTATAACGTACTATAAGTTTTTACACAAATATTTATTATATATACACTGTTTCACGATTGCTTGACACGGAGGTGACACCTTAATTTGTATTCCGCCTGGAGTTCTTCTAATTGTGAAGTTAGTGGAAAGCACATATCTTTAATTAGCTTGGGGACCTCCTGGGAAACAGGGAAAATGGTATATGCATAAGCTGCATCTCTTGTTACTACACTAGTGAGCAGAAACAAATTGCTAACTTTTACAGCTTTTCAGGTTTTTAAAATGCCTTGTTTGGTTTGATTTAAACATAAAGATGTCTTCTGAGTTTAACATAAAATGGTATTAGAAATTCTCAGTGTGCTCGCTGTGATTTATACTACTTTGCAGCTCGCTGCTGTGGTTTCACAACTCTATATTTATTTTAATGATTCAATCAATTTTGCAAGCCATCAATAAACACACTGAAGAACCTGCAAAGTTTTTAAAAAAAAAGAGCCATGCTATAACTGAATCATAAATATATACGCAGGTAGTTTCAAAGCAATTGTTGGAGAAGACACATTTTTCATTTTTACATTGAAATTTCAGAAAATTCTACAGACAGTGGAAAATCTTACTGAAGCAGCAGCTTTACTATGCTCACTCTGCGCTTTCCATATATTCAAAATTTCTTTGTACACGTTATTGAATTTGAATTGTCTCAACATGAGGGTTATTGCAAAATGATCAACAGCAGTGAAAATCTAATTATATTACAGATGCCTATTTTTTTTGCTTCAACTATACTGGAGCCAAATTAGGATTATGGAAAAAAAACTTCACTAGTTCATGGCTGTCTTGGCTGAAGTAAAGATTAGCAGTCCTATACAGAATTTTTAAGCAGATGCCGACAGACTGTGTCTATGCAATGTATGACTATACATTTGAATGCAAGTTATTACAAGAACACAAGTTTGGTTTTGTATATATCATACCTGGGATGCAAGAAAATAGTCTGACTTGTGGGGGCGTGGCTAACTGTCAGGCAAATGGCCACACATTGATGGAGCTCTGCACCACTGGACCCTTGGAGAACGAGTATCAGCTATCATTGGCATTCTTGTGACAGCTTTACTGCTAGTGTGACCCTCCGCCGTAACCCCCCACACTGGAAGTGGCCGAAATCGCAGGCGGAAAGAATAAGGAGCAGCGACAGAATCCATTGCATAATCCGTGCGGACAAAGATGGCCGACGCATGTGGCACTGTGGAGGAGCCAACATATCTGAGATTTTCACCTGAGGTATTTGACTCATCTTCTTTGGATAGCCTACCCTTGCAGCATGGGGACTCTTCTGTCTGCAACCGAAACTCTGCATTATTAGACAGATTCAGCCCCATGTTACAAACGGAGCTTAATACTGCAACTGACAACTGACTGCTACTCTCACTAAATAAATACGGGAGATTGGTTTCCGTACTGACTTATTGGAACGAAAAATGGATGATGTCCTTACAATAGTGGATTCTCATAAAAAAGAAATAACCTCAATACTGCATTAGACAAATTGGAAGACCTAGAGAACCAAGCCAGACAGGGCAATTTGCGTGTCGGAGGCCTCCCTGAGTGAATAGAGGACCTCACTTCTACCATTACAGCGCTTTTCCAGGAACTGGTTTCCTCAATACCTGTGGACAGATTGGAATTCGATCGTATTCATAGGGCCCTGATGCAAAAACGACCGGACTGCCCTCCCAGGAACATCATTATTAAATTCACATACTACAGAATGAAGGAAGCCATCTTGTCTACTGCCTGGGAACAGAAAAATCTATAGTTTCAGGGCCATTCTTTTCAAATCTTTGCAGATTCATCTCCGACTACCATTCAGAAAGACGCAGGGAATGGAAGCCATATCTGGATGTCCTCCACACTAATGGCATTGCTTACTGGTGGGGCTTTCCCTTCAAACTCTTGCTTGCCCATTCCAATTATATCCCTTCTAAATATTGATATAAAAATATTAACAAAAATCTTGGCCACTCATATCATTACTTTCTTACCCACAGGCTAGTGACAATGTTAGGAAAATTGTACATGTGATTAATATCCTTAAGTCTAGAGGCTTTCCAGGTTTATTTGACTCTGTATCTTGGGAATATTTAACATATGTGTTAGGAAAGTGGGGACTAGATGAATCCTTTATGAAATGGCTACACACTCTTTATTCCAATCCCACAACTCAGGTAAAATATCCTCCGATGTAGGTCTCCAGCATTGGCTATTGCCCGACGCACCCGTCAGGGATACCCTTTATCTCCAGCCCTTTTTGCATTAGCTATTGAACCTCTAGCACTTCTCATACATTCTAACCCCAACCTTAAAGGTGTTGAGTTAGCAGGTGTTAAAAATAAAGCCAGCCTATTTGCCGATAATGTAATGCTTACCCTTACTCAACCTCATACCACTGTTACCAATCTTCTTAATTTATTACAATGTTTCGCTATCATATCTGGTCTTACGGTCAACTGGAGTAAATCTGCTGCATTGAATGTGAATCTACCTCAATCCTCATATGACCACCTGTGTGACAATTATAAGTTCTCCTGGGAGAAAATTCTATAACGTATCTTGGGGTGCAAATACACCTTCCTATGACACTTTATATGCAGCAAATTATATACCACTTTTTCGCTTTTTGAGACATCTGTTGACCACTTGGCAGAATCAACATCTTTCCTGGTTCGGTAAAGTGGTAGCCAGTAAGATGACATTGTTACCTAGGCTCCTCTTTTTTTTCTCCAAACGCTGCCTGTGGCGATATCTTTGCTTGCCCTACATTTTTTACAGCAGAGTATACTACATTATAGCCAGGGTTTCTAAAGCTACTCTATATAAACATAAAAGGGATGGGAGTATTGGTTTACCTAACATATGGCTTCATTATCAAGCTTCTCAACTTTTACAACTTATCTCCATTTATCAGAAGTGTAACCTCTCGCTATGGACATTGTTGGAAATTCCCACTTGTTTTCCTATACCACCGACTACTTTGACTTGGCTACCTTTCTGTGATAGGCCTAAATGTTTGAGCCCTCTTATGAGACATGCTTTGAAGGTCTGGGACTCAATTAAATACTCTGCAGGGTTACTGTCTTTATATCTGCCTCTCTTACCATGTCCATTACTCTCACAGCCGTTATTTAAGCCGGGAGCTTCTGACCCCCTGACTTTTAAGTGGTGGTCAACCAATGGTTTTACCATAATTTATGATTTCTTTTGATCTACTAGTATACCTACCTGGCATTTTATTAATCAACATAAATGACCACCTGAATCCGAGTTGTTTCGATACCTTCAGCTTCACCATTGGATTTTATCCTTGGCTGGCAGGAGAGATCCGAAACAACCTCTCACGTGCTTTGAGCATCTCTGTCTATACACTCCAGAAGGAACTGGACTAGTTATGAATTACAAAAATGGGGGCAATAATAAAGCAAAGTGGTAACACAATTAGTCACAAATCAGGTTGCCTCTCCCTTAACAAAGTCTCTGTGACAGGTTTACAGTTCTGTGCGTCTGTATTTCTGGACAGTCAAGTGCAACAGTTTGAAATGTTCTGAGGCAGATTTATTACTGAAGAGGTTACAGATTTTTACTCTAAACAAATAATTAAGAAATGGTCAGGGTAAGGGTTCATTCTGTCACAGTACTACTTTAGAGTAGCTGAAGAAGAAGAAATGTATGACTCAAGCTGCAACCTTATAGTAAATCTACCATACAATCTATCTTAATGCTCCAATTTAGCATTGCTTTGTCATGTGCCACAGAATTGATATATGTCCCCCATAATAATTTCCATCAGCATGGCTGAAATAACAGATTATGTGATCGCTAACAAGCTATTTACATATAACCTCAGCAAAATTAAAATCATGACACCATAGAGGTTTGCTTAATTACTGACATAAGCATTGATGACATCATTAATAGAAAAAACAAATGATGGCATCAAAACTGATGTTGTGCAGTAGCGATTACAGTACAATTACTCAGAATGGATTAAACCACCTGTGACATGTGTTTTAATGAAATCATGCATTTTATATGATCACATATGATCATTACATGAATGTTTTTAATTAGTTACTAAGGGTAAAAATCTTGATAGACACCAAAAAGTATAGTACTAATTCAATGGCAATTAGTCAAATTATGCATAATATAATAACTTATGACATCATATTCATTATCCTCACAAGTCACATCAATACTAAATGGTAAATGATCAATCAATAACAATGGCCTGGACAGATGTCTTCTTCAGTCAGCCTATTTAAACAGAGTAGTCACTCTGCTGTTTGATATCATTGTGTGCACCATGGACCAAAGAAAGCAAGGGAAAGAGTTGTCTGGGAATATCAGAAAGAAAATAATAGGCCAGCATGTCAAAAGCAAAAGGCTACAAGACCATATTCAAGCAGCTTGATGTTCCTGTGACTACAGATGCAAATATTATTAAGAAGTTTGAGCTCCATTGGAGTGTGGTCAAATTGCTTGAGATAGCCAAGAGAGGGCAATTGCCCCAAGATTAAACAGAAGGATAGTACAAATGGTTGATAATGAGCAAAATAAATCTTTCAAAGAGATTTAAAAAAATTAAGTTCAAGGTAAAGTACATCAGTGTCTGATCGCACCATCCATCACTTATTGAGTGACAGAGGGCTTCAAGGAAGAAGACCCAAAAGCACTCCACTGTTGAAAGAAACACATAAAAAAGCCAGACTAGAAATTGCTAAAATGCAGGGCCCTATGTATCCATCCTTGTGTGTGTTACTAAGCTGTGTGTGTCTCCACAAACATACAGGCAGAGCAAGGCAAGCCACTCCCCTGTTCCCCACAACTCTTTCCTCTCTTCTCCCTTTTTAAAGCTAGTAGAGGGACAGCTGCTAGAGAATGCTCTGTCCCTTGTGATCTTGTAGCCAACAAAAGATTAGAGAAGCCGAGCTGAAAGAACTGGAGCCAGCAATTCTGAAACATGATGACTGTAAGTACTTGGACAAAAAATTAGGAAATACTTTTCTGGGCAATGTATATTTGTTTGATCTGGAGACATTATTTTTTAAAGGTTGAGTGTTTAATACTACTTCAGACTATCACGGAATTATAAAGCGAAATGTACAGCCAAGCATCAGAACGCTCTCTCATTCGCAAGTTATGGGTCCTCCAACATTATAATGACCCAAAACACAGCTGAAAGCACCCAAGAACAAAACAATAGACTATTCTGAGGTTGTCTTCTATAAGCACTGATATGAATCCTACCGAATATTTACAGAAAGAGCTTAAACGTACAGTTGCAGCAGCTTGCTCCAGAAGAGTGGACCAAAGTACCTGTTGGCAGATGAAGAATTCTCATTGAGAGCTACAGAAATTGCTTGTTTGCAGCGATTTTCTCAAAAGGTTGTGCAAAAACATGTTAGGTTAAGGGACCCATTATTTTTGTTCATGCCACTTTCATAAGTTTTATTATTTAAAAAAATGGAAGGGTATCAAAAACAAATTTATAAATATACACATACCTTAGATAGTTGCCTAAAATATTTGTCTTGGAGGGTGTTTTAGAGTTCTAATGATTCTTTTTGTGAAGTAATGAAATAAGATATTTTAATGTTCCTAAACAAGAATCTAACAGTAATAGACCACTTTCCAGTCAAAAAATGAAAGCTGTTTTTAGGCATTTAGCCCAGTGCTTAATTAAACAAATATAACAAACATGTGCTATTGATCAATGACATAATGCTTAAATTTACACAAAGGAATAAGACTGGGCAAGGGACAACGGCACTAAAAAATGAAGTCATGGTAGCTGTGGCAAATCTTGCACCATGACAAAAGTACAAATAGGAACAAAACAAATAGTAATTACTGTGCATCAGCAAGGTCTCCCCCAAGTAAAAATTCCAGGGCAGTCAGGTGTTTCAAAATATGCTGTCCAAATTGTTCTGCAGAAGCACATGCAAACTAGTTGCGATCTGGCAACAGCCACAGAATATAGTAGATAAGAAATACATCAAGCTTACTTTCCTTTAAGACCTGAAGATGTCCAGCACTGGAATCAGCTAATTCTCCGTTAATACTTTTTTAGTCATTAACCATCAAATGTCTAATTTAACATTAGAAAGCACAATGTTTAGAGCGCACTCCTGTAGGTCAGACACAACTCTGGAGATTAACTACTGGTGGTGTGCGAAACTCCTCATAACAGGGGGAGGGACCCTGTGCACCAATAACAAACAAACTCTTCTTGGAGGAGCGCTACTACCTGGAATCACTTTTATGGGCAATGCTTGTACAGTGATGTAGGATCATGCATGTATCAAATACGAGCGTAGAAAAAAGTCTTCTAGAATGGAAAGGATGTAGACTTACAGTTAGGATATGGGAGACTCTGACAAAAACTCGCCTTATCTTCACTTCAGGATGTGATGGTCAGGTCCTTCTATCTGGCAGATGAGAGGTGAGTGGCTGAAAAGGGGCTGGGCTGAATGGCTAAATCCCTCAAGTTGTCAAATGTTGAGCTGGTCTTAGAACATAGCTGCAATATTGGAGCCGCTCACGTACTCGGCTGGCCAGGCCGGGCCGCAACGGCTGGGATAGGGAGAATGTGAGGGGGAGAGCGAGGAGCCGCGAACAGCGCTGGAGCGCCCGATGCCGTATGTATTGGCAATGCTGTCAGGCTGCTGTCTCGAGGTGTGGAGGTGCACGGTGGGTATAGAATGTGAGGGAGAGAGCGAGGAGCCGCGAACAGCGCTGGAGCGCCCGATGCCGTATGTATTGGCAATGCTGTCAGGCTGCTGTCTCTAGGTGTCCGATGGTCTCTCTGGCAACGAAAGTCGCTGAGGACTAAACGGGGGGTGGAGGTGCACGGTGGGTAGACGGCTACGCGTTTCGAGGAGATTCCTATTTATCAAGCCACACTCGATCTTGTGGCTTGATAAAGAGGAATCTCCTCGAAACGCGTCATTTTTGAACCTGAAAATGACTGCGAACTGGAATACTAGTAGCTTCCAAACCAAGAAAAAACAATATACTTGGTTTTTATAAATAGAATTACAGGTTTCAGCTGTTCTACCACAATTATAGAGACTTCTCTGAAAACCGACTTTTATTTAAACATGATTAATTAACAATTAGCTATAAAACGTTTTCCATTAGTACACCAGAGCAATAGCTATGGAAAATAGTGCAGTCATAAGTAAATAATAGATTACCAATCAGTAATTTCAAACAGTAATAGCCATTTGCAACATTAGCTACATATGTTTTCTCGGAATTCATATTTATTGTCAAAAAAATAATTTAATTTTTTAAGTTTTAGAGTAATTTCAGACTTTTGGTGCAAGTGTGTACATAATACACATATACACACACACACACACAGTTACATACGAAATAATAAATTGGCCTAAGTTACATGAGCGTGATTTGATCATAGTGTTGATTAATACAGAATTATTAAGTTCATGCATGCAATTCTGTTTTATTACCTCTGTGGTGCTATGTGTGCCACAGAGACACTTGTTCCTGTAAATGGCTATTTATTTTTACAAATTTGGTCTGGGCACCTAGGATTCAATGACCTCCCAAGAAAGACCTTATGTAAAACATTGCTGTATTATTGCATGTTCATAATTGTATATTTTACAGACGCGCACATATACGGTAATAAAGGATAATACTCACATCAGGTTCCAAGGTGACACAACGCTGAAAAGCTCTTGCTGCTCCCTCATATCCTTGCAAAGTGATATAGGCACACCCCAAAGAAAACCACACTCCAAGCTGAAGCAGGAAAAACACATGTATATTAAACCATCTAATATATATGATCATACGAAACAATGATATAGTCAATCAACACTTTTCCAAATAGAAACCTTTGTATCACAGGGTACAATGCATCAAGCTGAAGTAGACCTGTATTCAAATGGTGGTTTCTGGTATAAATAAAATGCACTATAGGAGCTAAAATACTTTTTTGAAGAATGTGCTGCTCTTGGTTCCCTGCATTGCTGCTTACACAAATATACATTCAGTCATATAATGTACACTAAAGGGAAAGAACAGAGTTTGCATTCTCCACTTCAGCTCAGAGCATTTGAAGACAGGCATTGGCTTTTCTGCCCAACACTGGGAGGAACCTAAAGAAGCATTTTCTTCAGGAAAGGTATTTCAGCCCTTCTGTTTCTCTTTATGATTCCATTCCAGCAAAACTAGCCTCTTGCCTATACAGCACACATATATTCAGGTGGGTGCAAGAATCATAGGTATTTTTACAGAGCTATCTGTTATGTGAATTCCCACAAGTGCTAGCATTGGTTTTAGTCGCACTCTGTCTAAAACCTATGACTTCATACTGGACACACAATTTGATAGGTGGACTTACTAGCCAACAGGAAAATGTTGGGAAAGCCAGAGGTCTACCGCGTGTCGGCAAAAATTCACAAATAAGATATAAATGAATAGTAACACATACTACCCATGTATCACCTGTCCCTGAGGCTAGATTCACACTGTTCCATGTGTATTGCAGTGCACGTGCGCATATGTAGGTATCAATGGGTCCATATAGTATTTGAGTTTTGCTGCATGAAAATGGACAAGCGTGAACAGGTCCCAATAGTTACTCTCATCCTTACGCTTAAAAAAGAGGAAATGTTGGAACTGTCACTACTGTTGACATGATTTAATTAAAGTGATTGAAAGTGAGGCTTTGGAGCTGCCATCCTGAACAATAGCTACCTTGTAAGTGGCTGATCCAGAGTAAACCAGTCAAGTTTCCATCACCTAATAAACATGTTTGTTCCAGTTCGGTAACTCACAATGTAGCCAAGGGAGGACAAGAATGATGGCCGCCCTGATGGTAGCTCCCATATTTTTATCTTAACAAGTTTCTCTAAACGTATCCTTCCCCTTAACATCTAAGAAAATGTTGCTAAATATTCCAATATCCGTACTAAAGATTGTATTTGAAATATCTTTGAAATAAATGTCTATCGCTGTGGAAAGGAGGACCTAAAATTATACACGTATGTTGGTTGCTTTATTGCGATGATAATGGATAAAAAATTTTTTTTTCCAATAGATTAGGGTAATGTGAATGAAAGAGTGGACTAGAGACATATTACTTTAGTACGTGCCACTCATTCAAAAGAAAGGTGAAGAGCTTGTGAAATATATTGGACTCCCTTTCTAGCAAGCACTAGTGAGGGAAATTTAACTCACTGAAAATCCCCATATGAATGAGTAGCTGTCAGGATTTATGGCTAAGAGTTCAACCACGACTGATCCAATACACTGACTGCTGGATTATGTAGGATTCTTCTTGTAAGCAACATGTTTTTACAATTACACCCAGCCATGCACTCCAAGCAGATGGTACATTATTCAACTAACATTTACATAAAGATGTGGAAATGTAGCAACACATCAAAATGATAACTTGCTTCTCACCAAATACTTTACCACACCATCAGAAAATATCATGCACATATGTATAAAACTGAAATGCAAGCAGTGATAGAAAAATATAACATAATGCTAATATAATTAAGCCATACATTTCAATTAATAATGGGTGTAAAGTGGGTTTGTTTGGGTTACTTATATATTTTTTAATTTGTAATCCTTAGGAGCAAAACAGGGAATGATATGAAAAATATGAAGTATAGAAGGCTGGACTTACCATTCAAATCAATCAAACCAGTTTCTAATGGTTCTTTTTCAACTGTATGTGAAAAATGAAAACCCCTTACTGGAAAGACATTTAGCCTGCTTTATTTTTCTTGCAGTGTATGCAGGAAAAAAATAAACAGTACATTTTTTTGTAGTTAAGTGAATAACACAGTGGACACACTCCTACTCATTCTGTTGGCAACACCCTTGACCATCTCTTTTCCCGCCTCTGCACTTCTTGCAACCTCTCAAACACATATTTTCCTCTCTCTGATCACATCTTATCAGTTTCACACTCACTCCTTCTTTGTTCTGCTACTGGCTACCTCTATGACATATTCTCACCCCTGTCCTGACCTGGCCATTTCTATCTGCAATAGCTCAACCCCTTCTTCCTGGACACACTTGCTCCCCTCACTCCACACAGTATTAGGCCCTGGCCACTACAACCCTGGGAAACAGACAACATCAGAAGTCACAGACACAGATGAGCTTTTGAGCGAGTATGGCATAAAACTAGGCCCCTGCAAGACTTCGCCCTGTATAAATCTGATGCAATAAAATATAACTGCTCCTTTGCAAGCTGCCAAACAGACCTATATCATCACTTTCATCAACACCCTCTCCTCTAGTCCTTATCAACTCTTTTCTACCTGTGTGCGGTTATCTCCATACTAGTTTTGTATTTTGATGTTAGGCTATGCCTAAGGCATATATTTTGGCTATCTGAACAAGAGCCATCTGAATCCTTTTGCTCCCTTCTCCCCCCCTTCCCTTTCAGGAGGGTGAAGTGTGGAATCACTAGGGAGATGTAAAAGTGAAGCTGATTGTGATGAATATGATGAACAGGAATACCTTTCTAAATGGAAATTCATTGTATGAAGTTGGTCTGACCTGTCCCATGTCCACCGGAGGAGAGATAATTACCACCAGTGACTAAGTATAGGAGATATTACCATACGCATACTGGGACAAGCTCTGCGTTGTATTTTAATCTGTCCAAGAACCTAATGCGGAAGCTAGTGACTCAACATTGAGAAACGCGTTGGTGTTTGCTAGTCTTGCCAGTGGGCCGGTGTGTGCTTTATGATTGTAAAATTGAAATGCATATAACTGTATATATGGATATAAAATAGACTGACAATAGGCAGGCGGGAGCATCTCTTGAATTATTTTGTATGTCAATGTTTTTAGAAAAAATTGATGTTTAATGTAATGTTATGGATTTAATAAAATATTGGAATTTTAATTAATTAATGTAGTTGAAGTACCATTAAAGTCCAATATAGCTCGCATGAACTGATTTATTTTTTCTTAAAACTTATTATGTAATTTGGATATGATACTTTTTTTTTTAGGCAATTCAGTTACCTTGTTCATAAAATATATGGCTTGGAGGATACTTAACTAACTTTCAAAGCTGTAAATGAAAAATAGCAAAAAAGGCCCAGTCACCTGAGGTGAAAAATGGTTTGACAGAGAAAGGGTTAAAATAAGTAATACTGCATATCTCCATCTATGTTGGAGTACACTTGTTAGGTGTATGGAGGACTATGATTCCTGGCATCCTTCTAAAAATGCTAGTTGCTGGACTATGTTCAGTGCTTTTAAGTTACAGGCTGGAAGCAGCATGCAGTAAATGATTGTCAGAAAAGTGTACAAATTCTACAACTAGCATTCTCAAAATGAAAGGTCAAAATGTCAGCATGAATGATTCCCTAATTATATGTGTACTTGTAGGAGCTTTGAGTGAGTAGCATGTAAGTCCCATACTATACTATATTTAACCTTGTTATTCTATCAGGGACCTCACTTGCTTTTGCCATATGAGGTTTATAAAAATTACTTTTATGAACTGCACTATGGTCTGCATTTTTTTTAATAGTTTTGAGCTATTCTGTTTTTATTGTGGATACTTAAGGAAAAGAGTTTGAATATGCCTTATACTACAAGCGTGATATGACCTAATCTATATACAACAGATAAGGTCCACATGGGGAGATGAATCTGTGTCCAATTTTGGGTGGAGCACTGAAGCACTAAGGTGTTTATAAAGCAGATGGTATAAGAATGCCGTGGATGTGAACACACAGATATCACTAAGAACTAAAGGACTGTACTTTATGTTTTTGGACTGTTATTGTGCACTTTATTTTTTGGGATATATTGGATATATTTATATAATTTATTACATACTGCATGTTGCACTTTACATTAGTACACTTTATATATGGTAAAGAGATATATTGTAAATATTTTATGCACCGTTTGGGAGATATCACAAACTGCATTTTGGAGGGTTAGAAAAAGTGACTATATGTTTATTAATAAAGTTAGCTGGCCTTTTAACAATTTGTGTTTTTCATTTACCCTCCAGAAGTCTGGGCAATTAATGTATTAAAGATTTGTTTGAAAAGGGATTGGATTTGAGGGCATTTAAAAAGTATCCAACTCCTGGAGGACTATTCTAATTTGATTAGATTACTACTTGAAGGCCACCAATCTGTGCCACTCCATGCCGTTCCATGTACAACTATGGAAGCCAGCCCTATACTAGTCCCCACATGTAATTAATCCAGTAATTATTAGGGTACATTCATGCACTGTTTGTCCTATGTCTTGCATATCCCACTGTTTGTGTATTTGATAATATGTCACTGCATGCTTAATTATTTTGTTGTGGATAAGTAGATTGCTGGTTTAACATATTTGGGTCTTATTGCTATATACATTTCTGTTGTTGTGTGGAGCTCAAACACATGTTATAATCCTCATAACCAAAGTAATTGTGGAGGTTTAAATAGCAAATCATATCTCGAGATATTAATTTGGGTGATGCTTGCTAAGTCCTACCTGGATCCTTGCAAATAATACTTTAGGTGCAGGCATAACCAACGTAACAGCAGTAAACGAAAGTACAACTTACAATTTTATATTAAGAAAAAAAAAGAAGAAAAAAAAACCTACAGCATTTATAACCCTTAAAATGCTTGAGGAAATGTTTGTTTTCTTTTCATGGACATAAATGCAAATAAATGTAAATAAAAAGGTCATTCCATATAAAGATATGAATGACATGTATGGTACATGCAAGCTAAAAGCCAGTTGTTTATTTTTGCTTTTCAATAGCAATTAATATTTATTTTACAAAATTAGAAAAAAATAAATTTGTACATCATCAATACCACACATGAACAAGCTATACACAGCACAAACATGAAACCACTTTTTAAACTGGATTTATTTTAAAAAATGTTCCCCATTTTAACACTTTCCTTTTTCTCACCTGCATTGAATTGATCTTTACAGACTTTTCAAAGCATTCTACACACTGCTCAAACTCCTGATTCCGCAGATGGAGAAGACCTTTTGATCGCTGGGCACGAGCACTTCGGTGTTTGGAGAGCTCCCAGGCTCTATCATAATATTGGTGATCCCGTAATACATCCCCAAGAAGACAGTAAAGGTGTGAGGTCTCCTCTTTCTCCAATTCTTGTCGCAGAATCTGCTCTGCCTGAAGACAACATGAGTTACAATTCTGAGTACATACTGATTAAACAAATATTTATTAAATATATGTATTTATGTATGTGTTTGCAATATCATATTTTTGTGATCATATTTAATGTATGGAGACAGAAAAAATGCTTAACAAACTCAAATAACTATAGGCCATCTGGAGAATAAATTGTTTTCCAGACTAAATTACAGGCATTCCTATGGCTTTCAACAAATCTCTACCCTAGTAACCATCTAAGCAACATTGGTGTGAAACTGCAAAATAGAAAGTACATCATAGATTAATAATAAGCATGTTTGCACACACTTCAACCCTACAGATCACCAGTTGGTTTCCGAGACACAACTGTTATCAATAGGGATACTTAGGATAATGAAAAATAACGTGCAATAATTGCTGAAAACAATCACATTCTCAAATAGTACTTGGCGTTCTGACCTTTCCATGCTGTCCTGTTCGTTCATAGCAAATAACAACATCTTCCCACATTTCTAGCTTTTCAAATATCTGAAGAGCTGAGCTTGTACATCCAAGATCAAACAATAAGCTTGCTAGCTGCCGCTTCAAAGAAAATATAATTGTTAGTATATAACAGATTGCTTATTAGTATACATATATAAAATATAATTGTTAGTATATAACAAATTGCTTATTAGTATACAGATATAGAAAATATAATTGTTAGTATATAAAAAATTGCTTATTTGTGTAAAAGAAACAATTATTCATATTTTATAAAAAAAACTAAAAAAGTTTTGAAAATTAATTGAAAACATTTATGAAATAAAGAACAAATTAAGATTACCCCACCTAGCCTTTTGTCCTGCAATGTGTCTATCCACAATTTACCTTAGAGCTGTTGAGCTCCAAGCCCAACCAAATCCAAGCTTTATATGATTAAATAATGCATAGTTGACAAGAATATCTTATTTTGGGGTATTAGAAAGTGAATCATGCAAAAAATGTCTGCAAAATATGTACATGCACCAAATCATACTGTACATAATGAAACTATAATGGCATTTCAAGGTAATTTGATTACATAAAGGGGTAGATAGGTCATCGTTCACAATATCAGTGATGTATCTGTATATACAGTACATAATTAAATTAAAAGAAAATCTCCTTAAAAAAAGTATACATGATGAGGCTAAAGTTCTGCTTTAAAGATGCAAGTCTTTAAAACATGTTAAGCTTCTGGGTAAAAAAATATATACAATACTTGCCCTAAAAAGCATACACAGAGGAACCAAAATATACTAAAAAAATATAACTGTTTTCTTCCTGGCACACATGAGTGGTGAAAGCTGTTCAATGTTATTATGTGCAGATAATGGCCAGGGCTCAGCAGTGATATTGCTGAGCTGACAAATGTTTTAGAGATAATAAGTCCTGGCACACTTCACACCTAAGTGTGAGCTGGTAATAGTGAAAAGTCTTTTTGGAATGTCTATAAATCATTGATCGTAGGCTTGAAAGAAAACAGGCTTCCTTGACAGTGGAAATAATAAAACTCTTTCATCTGTACCTTACAGAGTACAACATGTTGCTGTTATAACTGGAGAGTGAAAGTTTCAGTCAGATTGGGTGCCATGTGCAATACAAAATGATTAGATAAGTTCTTCTCTCAGACTCTGAAAAATGCTTTAGCTCAGGTTACCTTCTTTCTGATTGGTCTTTCATATTAAGTGAAGTGTATTTAAAGAGAACTGTCATGTGGAAATGTAAACCTTTAAGTGTATGTATACACAAAATCTATTTGTCAATATGTTTAACATCATGCATTACTGTATCGGTTTTCTTAAGCAGATTTTTGTGAATCTGTTGCAAAGTTTCTTACCTGGAGCTTCTGCCAGTAATAATACTTTGCAGACTGACAGTGCAAAGCTGCTGCTTTAAAATTAGCAGCAGCCTTGCCAGCCTGCCATGTGCACTCCTTCATTTGGCTGTTAAGCTGGTCTATCAGGCTGGTAGCCCAACAGCCAACTGAAGAGTAAAGAGCCCCTTTCGACAGGCTTTTGCTTCCATCAGAATTCCCCACGAGTCAAGTATTAAAATGCAAACCCAGCTTAATGCAGCATAAAAGGAGATCAAATGCACATCCAAAGGAGGTTGACTGCAGGTCAAATGCCCTGTCAGTGAACTGTGAATGATCTCAGAAATGTTTTAAACTGATCTCAGATGCAAGCTGAATACCCCTGAAAACACGCTGTAATTTCCCACCGATACAAGCAAGTCTCTCTTATTTTGGGTTTAATATACAAGTGACTGTGTTGTGCTATGCTAATGACATAAATTGAATCATCTAGAGAAGAACATGTGAAGCTATGAGACGATTTTATCTCCCAACAAATGCCCTGTATGGATTTATTGCTTTGGGAAAGTTTCTAGGTGAACTTATACAGGGTTATTCACAAAAGGGTGAATAGTTTGGAGAAGGCAGGAGAAGTGAACAATCTAGGACAACAAAACTGAACTGGAAGGTGAGCTGAATTGGAGAATTTTTCCAAATCAGCTATTTTGACCTAGATTGTTCACTTCTCCTGCCTTCTCCAAACCCTTCACCCTTTTGTGAATAGGCTTGATAATGTTTTCAAATGTGATGTAATTTGGTCCCTAATTTATATTAATTACGTACTAGAATGTTATTTGTAGCGCTGCATTGTTTTTATATTTAAGTTCTATTTATTTGTATGTAACTGTTGGTTTGTATGTTTTTGTTTTTTTTTTCGTGCGGAGCTTCTCTATTCATAAAGTTTTACTTACTTGAATATCCCAAATTGGAGGCATCTGGGAGCAATAGAAAACCTTCATACGTTCAGTCACAGAAGGGCTTTTTTCTTCAAACTGATCTGCTAGGGCCTAAAGAATGAAATTATTAGAGAGAAAAAATATAATAATGGTCTGTGCAACATAGCATAATTATTTTCATTAATTACAAAGCAATCTAAATGGTACCCATTCACACCGCTGTGTCTTAAAACTGCATACGTTTTCATGTGTTTTACTAGATACGGTTTCTTGTCTTGTAACCTTCTTAATGCAATATGTTTTGTTGTGCTTTTATACAAAAACATGCAGTAAAGCTAGCTTAAAATCATCAAAAGGCATGTGTGCCACAGCACACTTAAACATACCGTAGACTCTCTGTTATCCGGCATTCATCTAACCATTACTCTCATCTAACCAGAAAAAAAATCCAGTGTGGACTCATTAATCTGCTGATCTGAGGCATGTATAATCCTGGAACGTGTGTCTATTTGTCTTAATTTGCTTTTGATTACTGCATTTCAATATTATTATGAAGTCAATACAGAGTTTATGTTATGGTATGGTATAGTATGGGGCATGGCATTAGTTAGACCTATTTTTAATAGCGACTCTCAAGAAATCAAACTACATTTATCTGGAATCTACCAATCCCTGTGGATGCCTGTGGATGCCGGATAACGGGGAATTTACTGTACATGCATTTTATAGGGCATAACAGTGTGAATTCAAGTATATTTTTAAGAACTAAAACATTGGTTCAGCCTCACTGATGACAGTACTTGGCTGAGATGGGATACCAGAATACAGAATAGAATGACAAACATTACTGCTTTTCATCTCTTCAGAGATTTGTGTCTGTTAGAAGCCAGTGTTGGTACAGCCCTGTGCAAAGGAAGAAAAGGAAAACTAAACCCTAGAACAAAAACAAAATATTCCCCAACATCAAGTAATGGAGCTAAACAAAGGCAGGCATATTGGAAGTCCAGCCTGGGTGGCAACTATGGCTTCCTCTATAGATACAGTAGAGGAGTCAAAATAGGGACAGAAGTGTTATTGGCAGGATTACCAGGTTAACATAAAGAAAAAAAATCTGAAAACCTAAAACGTATGCAGGCACCTCATCTATGGACCGGTAAGTTGTAATATATAACATTTTTGTTGGGTATTTTTTTTACTAGGCATAACCTCATCTGTTATATTTTACAAAAAAAATGTGTATAATATTGTGTTTTGGGGCACTAAAGTTAACTTAAGTGTAATTTTTATGGAAATGCGGGTTTTGACAAAGATTTGCGCTAATATTTTGCGACATACAAATTTGTGTCTGCAGCCATTTTATTTTACAGGGTCTGTGCTTTCAGGAAATATATTAATCTTGGGGGTTTTAAATATTTTTCAGGCCTAAAATGTGAATTATAAGGGATGAGCTCGATCTGACAGCATACTCCTCCTCCGCACAACAGCCCGGCCTCCTGTGACAGATGTCTCCACCCCCACACCGTCGCTCTCCTGATCTGTCACAGGAGGCTCAGCAGTACGGGAGGAGAGACGCCGGCCACTCAGAGCGCTCTCCCTCCCGTACCACTCGGCCTGCTGTGACAGTTTATCTCCTCCCTACTGGACCCTGTGCAGTGTCAGCAGGGAGGAGAGAAACCAGGGATGCATCACTATTTCGGCTGAAAGATGGCACTTTAGGCATTTTGCCAAAGGTGCCATTTTCGGCGGCCGAAATTTCGGTGCATCCCTAATATAGATATAATATTTATCAGACACCATGACTTATTTTTGTGCCACAGAGAGCAGTACTTGATGAACAATACAGAAGCTTAAACAATTGGAGTCGTTAAATAAAGTATTTCTGACACATTACAGGCTGTGTGGGTGTTGTTGGAAGCCTTGCATCAAATTCATGCAGGCTGTACAACACTTTTATTAGAAATACCAACATGAACACATAATTCTTGTAGTTCAAAGTAGCAACAATTTTATTGTCTGCCTGTATTGCTGCAACAGATGCAACAGGGTAGACCGCCATATCGGATCTATGAAAAATGGAGTATAGTAAGACCTCTCATATGTTGGCATTAATTAATAACAATTGTTCTTCTGAGGCTGTACAGTAATGAGTAATGTACCTAAATAATATTATATAACCATAACATATCACTATACGTATATATAAGGAATATATATACTACATATATACAGTCATCACCAAAAATATAGGCACACCTGCATTTCTGCCAGATAAAGCACCACTTAGCGCAGAAAATTGTTGCAATTACAATTGTTTAGGCATTCTCATGTTTATTTCTTTTGTTTGTTTTGGTATGACACAAAAAATTGGAGAAAAAAAAGCCAAATCTGACACATTACATGCAAAACTCCAAAAATGGACTGAACAAAATAAGTGACACCTACTCCAAATTAGAATAATTGCATTCCAAGTTTGTGATGCTCCTGTAATTTGTAATTAAACTCACCTGTATCAATTAACGGGAGCTAACAATATAGACATCACATCGGCAACCAGTTAAAATGGTGAAAAACGGACTCAACCTTTCTGATGTGTGTCTCTGTGTGCCACACGGAGCATGGAGAAAAGAAAGAGCAGCAAATAATTGTCTGAGGATTTGAAAAAAATTGTGGAAAAGCATGGACAATCTCAAGGTTACAAGTCCATCTCCAGAGATCTCAATGTTCCTGTGTCCACTGTGCGCAACATTGTCAAGAAGTTTACAGCCCATGGCACTGTAGCTAATCTCCTTGGACATGGATGAAAGAGAACAATTGAGCATAGATTGCAACGAAGGATTGTTGGAATGGTGGATAAAGACCCTCAATCAACTTCCAGACAAATTCAAGCTGACCTTCAGGCACAGGGTACAACAGTGTCAGCTTGCACTATACATCGCCATCTGAATGAAAAGGGGCGCTATGGTAGGAGACCCAGGAGGACCCCACTGCTGACACAGAAACATAAAAAAGCCCGATTGGAGTTTGCCAAACCTACCTGAGGAAAAACCCTTTTAGGAGAATGTGCTTTGGACGGACAGACAAAACAAAATTAATGTTTTTTGGTAAAGCCCATCATTCTACTGTTTTCAGAAAAAGAAGTGAGGCCTTTAAGGAAAAAAATACAGTCCCTACAGTCAAACATGGTGGAAGTTCACTGATTTTGGGGTTGCTTTGCTGCTTCAGGCACTGGGTGTCTTGACTGTATTCTGGGGTGCATTGTAGGGCCCCGTGACAGAAAGTTGGGTCTCCGTCAGAGCTTATGGGTCTTACAACAGGACAATGACCCAATGTACACGTCAAAAAGCACTCAGAAATGGTTTCAGACAAAGCGCTGGAGAGTACTTGACTGGCCAGCAATAAGTCCAGATCCGAATCCCATAGAGCACCTGTGGAGAGATCTCAAAACAGCAGTTGGGAAAAGGAACCCTTCTAATCTGAGAGACCTGGAGCAGTTGACGAAAGAAGAGTGCTCCAAAACTCCTGTAGAGAGGTGTAAGAAACTCATTGATGATTACAGGAAGCAATTGAGTTCAGTTATTTTTTTCCAAGGGCTGTGCTACCAAATATTGAGGGTGCCAAAAATTTTGCCCAGTCCATTTTTGGAGTTTTGCATGAAATTTTAGTATAGCAAAGCCTGAAAAACTGAAGTGCTGTGCAGGTAGGCTATGCTCCATGTATGCATCTTGAAGTGTCTGTAAAGTCAAAAATGCTTTTTTTTTTTCTAAAAGAATGGGGTATGGTTAGATTCTCTGTCAAGTTTTTATTGCTATCTGTGTCTCTACTGGAGAGATTCACTCCTCTATTTGTGCTGGAGACCACTGTCATCAAAACAGAAAGTAAAGGGAAATCCAAAACAGAATTGCCTCCAGAGTATCTGGTGAGTGTAAATCATCCAATGGGGATATTCGTTCTAATGACAGCTGTCTAAGATAGAAATTCTTGTACTTTGCAGAGATTTCTTCTCATTTACTGTTCTATAGGACATAAAGTGAAGGGAAAGCTCTAAAGCAGGACACAAACAGAAAAAAAACCTCATGGGATTTTCAGTTACAATTATTTGTATTAATTTCAGGATAAGGTATAACAGTATGGCCTAAGCAGGGGCAGTGAATGAGAATACATGACAGTAAAAAAGCAGGGTGTGTGTAGTGGGGGAATTCAACAGTGGGTTTTTCAGGACCTACTTGGGGATCATAAACTTCTCAAACATTTGGAAAGCATGAATGTTTTGTTTATGAATTCCCCCTTACCAGGAGCATGAGACCAAACCACCAAAGGGAAAGGAGCAGGGAAGGGGACAGGATAGGAAAAGAGTAAAGGAAAGAGCTTGCAAAAAGAAGAGGAATGGAAGAAGAGGGAAGTGGGAAAAATATGGGGTTAACTGGATGAGACCCAGGGCTTGGGACAAGGTATAAAATAGAGAACTATAGGGAACTAAAGCTAGAGATATTAAGGAAGAGCATAGTTGAGCCAGGGTTCACAAATCTTAATGAATGTAGGCTTTGAATCTTTGAAAGCGCAGGATAGCTTCTCAATAATGAGCAGTGTCCATGCATTCTTTAAAGTAGTATTACAGTCTTATTTTTTTACATATATGTACGGCTAGCAAGCAGTAGATATATGTGAAAACATTTTTTTTTTTAAAAGTTACCAAACAAGTAAATCAGCTTCCCCGAATGGCCGTGCAGGAGGATGAGTGCGGGCACATGCGCAGAGGAGATCACCAGCGGGGAGAGACACACTGTAAGTCAATGCACGCAGCCAAGAGTGTGCACACTGGACAGACTCCATGGTACAGGAAGAAAAAGCAGTCTGCGCTGGATCAGTGACCGGTACCAGCACTGGAGGGACTGCTGGAAACAAGTGGATGAAAGAAGATAATCAGATCAAGAGGCATCATTTAAGGTAAGTCCTTAGATTTCACTTTAACAACTAGAAAAAGAAAAGCAGTCAATGTGTGTTAGTGGACAGTGAATCCTGGAGCGTGTTGCAGAAGAGCTATCCAGGGGTCTCATGGAATGTTAAAGTGGAAGAGAGATTAAATAAGGCCAAATATTCTAGATGAGGAGACC